CTGCACCAAAGTCGGTCATCTCACTACCCCTAAAAAGGCCAAGATGGTCAAGTAAGGTTCTAAGAATTCATTAGTGCTTCATGACATCACTCAGCGACCCCGTATTCTCTTTGATTGACTCAAAGGCTACCGGTACCCACAAATATGTCGCACTAATGTAGCCACTACTTCAACCATGTCGGTATACCCTGCACAGTTCCCTCACAGTTTATTGTTACTTACCTAAAAGGTGCCCCTAAATCTGGGTGTAGGATTTAAAACAAACCCAAACAAGGAACTCAAAAAAGTAAAGCATACAAGTCAAATAAGATAAGTATGTAAAGGTGATCTAAACCCTAAGGTAACCCCACTTTTAGAATTTCCCCAACAGAGTCGCCAGTTCTGTGATACGGTGGGAGAACTGACTTGAGGTTTTGCGTTTGTGTTCGCAATTGTGCGGTTTAGCAAGAGTCGCCACTGACTTTTTATTTTATCCAAAGGAAAGGTCAAAAAGCACAGGAAAGACCTTTGATATGTTTTCTTGGGTTCAGGGGGTAGATTATGAAAGGGAAAGGTGCAAGCACCATTTTCATCCATGGTTTTCCATGGGCTCTTAGTTACTTGTTTAGATCACTTGCTTTTGCTTTTCAATTATTTGAAATGGTGCTTTGTGTGTGGTTTTGAAAATGTTTTGAAAAGAGGCCATCGTTGTGGCAACCTTTGTAATGATTCTTGTTTGAATGTATACAAAGATGTATTTGTCTTTTGAGAAGATTTTCAATGTTTGAAAGTTTGATTTGGGAAATATTGTGTTGTGAAGTGTGTTTGAAAATAGCAAGGATGTTTTGCAAGTTTTGATCAAGTAACTAAGAGTTATCTACCCTATTTTACTCAAAGATATTTCCTATATGTTTTTAACCCTTTTGACAGTGTTGTTTTACCATTGCATTTGGTAAACAACCTTGTATTAGGATGTTAAACGGGACAGGCGCAGATCATCGTATAGACCATGATAGCAATTGTGTTAAGTATTTTTAGCAAATTTCCGTTGGGACTAGATCATTTTGTATAGGCGACCAAGATAGCGTCATCGAGGGACTATGGTCTTTTGTTTTGTTTTTGTATTGCCAAAATACTCAACATGCATAACATGGCCAATTTAAAAGGGAATAAGTGGATGAAACCCTATGGGTGCAAGTGTGCATTGTGTTGTCAATTTACATGTTTTTTGTCTTGTATTAGGTTATCTAGCGATTGATTTTGAATCTTGCCATACACGCCTAATTACTATATAGTATATTGAAAGCAATAAATTGCGGGAATTAAAAGTCTAAGTTATTACAAAAGTATCCGGGAATGGGGGTACAAATTGTTACAAATGGGGATGAGTCTCACAAGAATAATAATGTCCAAATATCAAGTATTACAACCAAATCGAATTGTCACAATTCAATATAAAGCCATAACAAATTATGAAATAAAGAAAATCAATCAATTATGAAATGCATGTATTTACTTGAAAATAAATAAATAAAATCTATTCTAAAAAAGAAAGATTAAATATTTTTATTATTATTCTTTGTATTTTATTAATTATGTAAAATAAAAAGTTTAAAGGAAGAAAAATTAATTAAACAAAATTTCTATTATTCTTGTATTTTTATTAATAAAAAAAGGTTTAAAGAAAACAAAATTAATTAAATTAATGTTCTTTACTATTTTGTACTTTTATTAATCAAAAAAGAGTTTAAAGAAAACAAACTTAATTAGATCAAATTAAATGTTTTTTTTGGTATTTTATCAAATGAAACAATTATTAATTAATAAAAGAAAATTGAAACTAAATTAAGAAAATCAAAGTAATTTGCCAAAATAAAATTTTAATATATTATTTAGTATTATTATTAACAAAAGAAAAGAAAACAAATTATTTAAAATGAATTAATTAAAAAAAGTATTTGTTTAAACAAAAGAAAAGAAAATAAAATGAATTGAGTTAAGAGGTGGGCTTTTGGGTTTGAAATGTGTTAGGCCCAAAACAGAATTAAAAGAAAAGGTAAGGGTCAACATGGAAGGGAGGGGGTGCGCTAGCCAATTCGTTATGGGCTTAGGCGCTTGGGGCCAGAAAGCCCAGCGCAACGATTTGTTCACATTTTTGGTTGGGGTCTCAGAATTATTAGAGTTTGTGTGAGTCTTGTTTCACAACAGCGCCACTCTCTCTCTCTCGCTTATTCTCTTCATCTTTCTCAGCGCTTCAAACGCTTGATTCTCCTCCTACCTAAGCCTAAGCCACCGGAGCGCCGCCTCCTCCTCTCATCTCCTCACAATGGTCAAAGGTTTTGTTGTAAACGGTATAGTTCGTTCTTCTTTTGATTTTACAGTTTCATGTTTATTTGATTTTACAGTTTGGCTAATCCATTGTATTGCATGGCTTATTGAGGTGAAGAAACATACCTTGGGGTTTTCTCTGTGATGAAAGAGAGAGGTTGGGCTGGCGGCGCTCCTTGGCGGCTAGAGGCGGAGGGGAGGAAATGATGAACGCGCTTGCTTTTGGTAACTTCTTTCCTTTCTCTTGCTTTCGAATGATGACGACGTTGAACGCTTTTGACTTTGTTTGTTGGTTGTTCTTCTGATACTTTATTATTGTTTTGTTGAACTGAGTTTTGATTTGATGTATGCTTTTGGGGCTTTTGTTGTTAGCTTTTTGTTGATGACGAGTACAGTTTTGAAACTTGTTGTTTATGGATTTGTTGATGATGATGTATTTCTGAAAACCCTGTTGTTATTGCTTCTGAAACTCTTTTCTCTCTCTTAATTTTGAGTGTTTGCTTTTTTACTGGAATATGATGAAAAGCTATGACAAGCTTTTGGCTTGTCAATTGGTTTATCTCCTGCATTTGCTTGCTGTTTGATTTCTATGTACTTTCTGCATTCGTACAGTTTGCATCCAGTCACTTTGTAACTCAGTTTGCTTGTAACTGTTGGGCTTATAGTTTTGCTTGTTTTTGTATGCTGCATTTGGTTTAGTTGCAACTTTGTAACTCAGTCTGGCACTTTGCTTGTGATGCAGTTTGGCGCCTGTTATGTAATGCATTGTTTTGCCATGCTGCAAAGTTTTGTTTTGTATGCAATGTGCAGCTTGACAGTTTGCTGACTTGGTTTGCCTTAGTTGCTTGGCCTATGTTTTACATTTGAACCAATTGCTTTTATATGCTTGAATTTTTCCTTTTGCATTTTTTACTTTTCTCTTTGTGAACCAAGAAGAGCAATCTTCTTGTGATTTGCAAAGAGAAAAATAAAAACATGATGAACAATAGCACTTCTCATTCCAGACGGCAAATTTTAATGATGAACAATTTCCTTTTCTTTTGTTGTTTGAAAATTCTTTTCATATTCAACTGACTGTACTAATTCCTTTTCCTTTGCGTCTTTTTCATGTGAGCACAAATTGGGTGATGACAAAGCAAATGAAGCAGAAGACTTTGAGCATGAGAGCAATTGAGCAATGGAGGCTTAGGCTTAGATTAGATAGATTTTCCATTAATTGTAACATTTATTTTTTCAAATACCATAAGTTGTAAAACATACAGTATTCAAATAATAAATTATTTTTGTAACAACATTTGAAATGAATGAAGAAAGCTTTTATGAGATCATCTGATATCCAATAAAACCTTTTACTGTCAATATCTTGTAATTCTTTCCTTGCATCTTTACTTAACCCTTTAAGATTCTCAGATCAAAATAATTGAATTTGCATTCCAATATTTTTAATACAGATACCTTAAAATCCAAGTAATCCCAAAACTTTGCAATCTCGTAACCTTGCAACAACATTTCAATCAAAATACACATTGTATTTCAATAAACAAGCAAGCATTTCATTCAATTAACAAGCAAACGTCTTAACAGACGCACATTATCTGGTTAACCTGGATCAGACAGTCTCAACTCCTATCTCTTATCCCAGATAATCAGGCCTTGAGAACAACCAGCAATCTTTCAGTAGGCTTAAAAAGTATGAAAACATGTGACAGTTAATAGAATTTCTGAGAATTCAGTTTCTTCTGAGAAATGCGAGAGAAACCCTAATTCTTGATTTACTGCCATAGAAAAGTTTGTCTGATCGATTCCTGAGCCAATCTTGAAAATCTGAGAAAATCCTAGGGTTGTGATTTTCTTGTGAAAAATGGAGGGCAAATTTTGGGGTACAACAGTAGGCACTAATGGTTCGCAACCGCGGCGAGTGCAAACATTATAAAAATAAATATATTTCTTTCCTCACCTCCACCATTCATTTTTTTTATATATACAATATTTTTTATAGCCAAAATATACAAATTTTACAAAGAGGCTCCTGCGGAGTACTGTAGATGTTTATGGTGCTTATACTTTCCCTTTGCATAACCAACCCCCTTACCTTGAATCTTTCCCCTCTCTTTTTGGGTTATTCGCTCTTTTTCCATTCCTTTAGAAACAATAAAACGCAGTGACAATTTTGATTTTGATTTGTATAAAGTATATTCAGTCCAATGACTTAGTCTTGAACATTTCTACCGCTACACATATAAAAGACAGTTACCAGAAATTTCAAATTTATGGTATAGAAAATTTGAAATTTGAAATTACATGCATATGCCACAGTAGCAAGTGGTATATTAAACTAAATTTCCGATATTCTATCGAAAATTTCGATACGAAATCGTGAATTTCCAAAATTTCAATATTTTTCAAGGACTTTAATGTAATTTTTCACTAATAGAAGAGTGACATGTATAATTTGAGGGTTGGAATATTAATTCCTCCTACATGTAACAATCACCTTGGGCCTTATGTATAAACCCAGCCCAGCACAATTTGACATATCTCTCCTCAATCGCGTACAACTTCTCCTTCATCCCAAAACTGAAACTCCAAGTTTCAGTCTCTTCCCTTTTAACACGCGCTTTCTTCTCCTATTCCATAGCGTGCTTTTGACTTCAATGCCGTTATTCTTTATACTATAACACCAAAATATTCAAATGGCATGTTGTTGTAAATACAACTATTTCTTTCTTCACTCGCATTTCTTGTGGAGAAGAGTCCCATTTCCCCGCCGTCGCGTTACCGGAACCGTCACCGCCAGTAGCTACTCTCGCAATTTTCAATCTCCGAAATTGCTCAGTTCTTCACGCGCACCACTCTCGAAGGTGAACCGCTCGCGTAGTTGACCTAATATTATTAGTCACCGTGCTTTCTTTTCTTCCTCGTCAAACTTAAAAGTTTATCTAGTTTTTCACGTTTCTTCGTTAGGGCTATTGTACTGAAACTTTAGATTCGCGTGGAGATGGAGTTGTTTCTGCAAGTTCTCAGAGCAATGCAACATTGGCTCCAGAAATTAGTTATGGAGCTGCTCCACCTGTGCAGCTTGGTTCTGTTAGAAATGCGGAAGATGCGGCGAACATTGATTCTTTCAATGGCAGAGTTATGCTCATTGACGGCACATCGGTAATTCATAGGGCATACTACAAGCTTTTAGGTATGCATTGTTGTTTCTGTTTACCTGTTTATTTTTTATCACTTCTAAAGTTATTTTGTGTTCCTCTCATTTTATTCCATATTTTGTTTGGGGCTTTGTTTGAAAAATTTAAATGATTGTTGTTAAACCATGTTGTTTTGATAGCGAAATTGCACCATGGTCATCTAACACACGCTGATGGAAATGGGGATTGGGTTTTGACGATATTTTCAGCACTGTCATTTGTAAGTTATTTGTTGATTTTTTGTTTTTTCATTTTGAGTTGCAGAATTCGCAAACTTTATGCTACTGTCATCAGTTTTTTTGTCATCTTGGTGCATAATTTCTTTGATGTTGTTATATTGATCTCTAATGAGTACAACTATAAATGAAGGGTATTTCCCCCCTCATCAAGCTATTCTGAATTTTATGGAAGAATAGAAACATTTCATGGTAAATTCTAATTTTAATGCCCAACTTTGGCTAAAAAGATTGAGATTAATTTGAGACACTGAATTGATAAATGAAACCTTGGATCAAGAAATAATTGTATAAATGAAAGAGAAGAGAAATACTTTTACTAAAGTACTCTTATATGTATTTATCATTTAATGGTGTATTCACCTTTATGATAAATGCAAAATGGAATATATTGAATTGAAAGTGATGCTATTAATCTATCTAATAGAGTCATTTGTAATCTTATCTTTCTCTTACCACACATCCAACTCAACATCCTTCTCTTGTGTAGTCTTACCACAAAGTTGAAAGGTACTATTGAAAAAAATAATTAATGTTGTATTGAAAATTGAAAGTTGTATACAATAATTTTAACTGTGACTGAATCAGAGTTGTCAAATATCGGCCATGGCGAATTGAGGTGGCGGATTTTTTGATAACCGCCATGGGCTACGTGTGAAGGATGGAGGCGCCATGGCATTTTACAGTGGAATTCTGGCTTTTCGCCATCCACAACCGATAACAATGGATTAAAAGCACAAAGCAGTTTCGTTTTGTTTGATATGTGTCATTTTTATCTTTTAGTTACTCTTGGTTTTCTTTCTTGCAGATAATTGATGTTCTGGAATTTATCCCTTCCCATGTGGTGGTATGTTTTATACTTTATGCATTTATCTACGTGAAACACTTGCATTTCCTTTAAATTTATCATCCTCACTAGTTATCTGTGTGAAAAGGTTGCATTTCCCTTTTTACAATCAATCAGTTAGTCTGGCTAAAAAATGGTTTCTTTTGCATGCAGGTAGTGTTTGACCATGATGGTAAGATATCAAATTCCGCTTCTATATTTGCTAGTATATTTTGTATCCTATTTGATCCTTCATGCTAATAGAAAATAATTTTCTTTTAATTATAATTATAATAATAATAATACTCTATATTTTGATTATTTTATCTTGGGGTGTGCTTGCGATGGTAATTAATTGAGTTGAAGTTAAGTTTGCATGTAGGGTTGTGTTAGGCACCTTATGTTTTGATAAGAACATGTTGGTTTTCTTTGACCAAATTAGGATTCTATTATTGACCAAAAACATTATAAAAAAATCATTGACTGTTCACAATTACCATATAGATGCTGGGGGAAAACATAGGCATTAAGGATAAAATGGTGGACTTAGAGGGTATTTGTGTAAACATCTTAATTAAGCGTCAATAAACACTTCATGAGAGCTTATGTACAAGTTGATTTTACAGTTAAAGAGACATTGAGGATAAGCTATGTATAAGCTGTTTCCATAAGCTATTTTGGAAAGCCTATGAACAAATATTAAAACAATTTATGGATATATCATAAGTTAGTTTTATGAGCTCTCACAAAAAGTGAGCAAGTACTTCTGTTATTAGCTCCGCCTAATCCCTCCTTAATGGATGAACCCCTAAGATTGGTAATGCGTTCTAGAAGTAAACCAAAAGCAGAATGGACACCCGTGCAACTTTAGTACTGTTAATATGGTCTTTACCGTTAGGAGGCCTGGTCTGGATTTTCAACTGAACGGCCATCAACAATTTGGATTCAAATAACACTGAAGTCTACGGAGTCACTTAGATGTTTTTTTCTACATAAAAAACAGTGAGGATGTGTCAAATTGGTCATGCTAACAGAGTTGTTTGAATAGGTTTAGTGTGATTTCACATGCACATATCTCTTCTGTCTGAATTCCAGACTGGGCCCTAAGAAATGATTTTAGTGTCATACATCATTTATGCTTCAAGTGCTTTGATCCTCTGCCAGCAATGTTGGTTTTACACTGTTTTCTTTCATTTATATGAAGTATTTAAGATTTGCAGTTGAGCAAAAAGCTATATGATTCTTATGACACGTCTCATTAAAACTTGGACCGATTTCTGCCATTGCTCTATCCTGCTGGAGAGAACTACCTTTTCTGTTCTGTCTGATGTAATAGGCATTGTTTTTTACGGAACATACAACAATGGGAGTTTTTTAACAAAAAATAACGGGGTTGAATGTTTTTATGCTTTTTGTGAAAGGGTTTTATTCTCTTTTTGGCATCTTATCTTGTACTAACGCATTCATGTTGTTGTTTATTTTAATTATAAATAGTAAAAGAAGACAAACAAGAATGATAGGAAATAGAACTAATTTATTGTCCAATCATCTACTTCAGAGATATTTTCACCCCATAGGTTAGAAATAAAAGATATGAGAATCTTTTTACCCTTGGAAAACATAAACAGATTTAACGAATTACTGTTCGATTCACGATTCCCCACCAAACTCTTGCACCGATAACCAAGGCTGTTGTATTTATGCGAAACTTATTATGATCATTGAAGAAAGTGTCATAGAAGGAATGTTATGTTCAGTTGAGTGCAAGTTGCTTCTACAAGCTACTGATGCACAGGTGGTATTCGGGCATACTAAGGATTTGAACACATCATTTTGCATATCTTTCTCCTTTGAGTCTAACTTGCATTTCTCAAGTTCTTTGTTTTGTAAAGCCTCTCTCAACTGTCAAGTAAAATCTTAATAAAGAAATCCTTTTAATTTCAGGAATTCCTTTTCGTCATACTTGTAATTCATCAAAAGAAAGTTTTACTGCTAAAGGTATGTTAAATTTCGAGTTTCAGTATCTTTGAGTGATGAAATCGGAATGTAAGACCAATACCAGAATTTAAACCCCTTTTTTTTGTGGTTATGTATGGGTAAGGGCTTAATAGAGTTAGTAGTGTATTAGTTAGCAATTTAGCTTTCTGTTTGTATTATCTGCTGAGCTGTAATAGTTAGTTACAACATTCTCTCTATATAAAGAGAGTCCCCTGTATCTCAAATCATTATGGAATACGTTAAGAGTTTCCTAACTGTTTTCTCTAACAGCATTATGCTATTCTATCATGGTATCTAGAGCTTGCTTTTCGATCCAGTAGATCGCTTCCATGGATTCTCCGTTTTGCAATGGTGTGTTTCCGTCTTTGCTGTTAGACGACGACGACTTATCTAGAGGAGGGTGAATAGATCCCCAATTAAAAATTACCTTTGAAATATGTATTTAAAAACTTATTTTAAAATCAAAGTTGAGCGGAAGAGTTTTTGGCCTAGATTGAAAAGTCGTCTACACAAATCAAGTTATTGGAAACTCGGATATGCACAAAGCCTTATGGAATTAAGATAGAGATAGAAACAATTAACACAATTATTTCTAGAAGGGGGCGAATAGATCCCCAATTAAAAATTACCTTTGAAATAGGTATTTAAAAACTTACTTTAAAATCAAAGTTGAGTGGAAGAATTTTTGGCCTAGATCGAAAAGTCGTCTACCCGAACCAAGTAATTGGAAACTCGGATATGTACAAAGCCTTATGGAATTAAGATAGAGATAAAAACAATTAACACAATTATTTCTAATTAACCTTTTAACACAATCACTACGATTGCCTATTTCCAAAATGAAATCGAAATAAAACGTAAATTGATAATTTATCAAACACTTAGAGTGCGATCAATTTTCCAGAACTTTCTTTGAGCTTTATTGATGTGAAAAAGCACTTGCAATCAAAGTGATTGGAAGCTAATAACAAAGCAATTCCAACTTTAATCGTCAAAGAAAAGTTTTATACGAATTGATCGATTAAACAACAAGTTCAATAAATTGTGTATAGTAGGTAAAATAGAGTAAGGGAAAGAGAGAGAGAGAACGACGCAATGATTTGTTTAGGTAGTTCAACAATATGTCCTCTCTATGGCTACGTCTGCCCCTAATTTTAAATGAAATTTAGATATTAATCTTACTTTGCAAAAAGTCGATTTAGAAGAGAAGTGCTATAAGAGTAACCCTACAAACCCTAACCGTTTGTCCCTTCTCTTCTTTTGATCTTGAGCAAGACCAAGACACAATAGATCCAATTGATTTGTCGAATCTTGCTACTCCTTTGCGAGAATCCAAATCTCCAAAGCTTCGCGCACGATCTAATCCAATTGCGATTATTGATCACAAGAGCTTCCAATACGATTCACCGTCTTGCGCTACTCCTTTGCAAGATACCAAATCTTCAAAGCTTTCACTCGGTCGAATCTCCTTTGCGAGAACCCAAATCTCCAAAGCTTTCGCGTACGATCTAATTCAATTGCGATTATTGATCACAAGAGCTTCCAATACGATTCACTGTCTCGCGCTACTCCTTTGCGAGATATCAAATCTTCAAAGCTTTCACTCGGTCGAATCCCCAATTGCGAAATCTTGAATAAAACCCCCAAATCTACTAAAGATTTTGGAGGATAAACCCTAGGTTTTTTCGGATGAAACCCCCCATAATTTTCAACCCAATATACTCGGTTACACAAACCTAATTGGACGTTATCAAACCTCGTCTAGATGGCACCCCAACAAAAGATGATTATGTTTGATTTGTTAGTGTGTATGCATAAGTTGGAGGTTGAAGATGATGAGCAATGGTGGTAAGTGTTTAAGGTTTCATCAAGTTAGAGAATGATGCATGTATGATGTATTTATAGTTGTGGGAATATGGTGACAAAAAGTGAAACTTCGGATTTGAAACAATTTAGAAAAAATATCCCAGACAGCAGTATGTGCCGACACATACGAGTTATGTGCCGACACGAAATTTCTGACATTGACACATGTGCCGGCCTGAAAAGGCAATGTGCTGGCACCATAGAAGAAAATATGCAGCATGTGCCGGCCTGAAAAAGGTTATGAGCAGACACATTCAAATAGAGCCTTCAAGCTTTATTACGACAATACATGTGCCAGCCTGAAACACAAATGTGTCGGCACATGCAAGTGTTTTGTGCAGAAATTTGATTTTCATGTTTGATACTTGATCCAAACTTGTTCTAGATGATTCCTAAGACCTCTAATGCAAGGGTGCACCAAAATGGCTTAGAGATAACGTCCAATATACAAAAATGTTAAATTCTCCTAGTTTTGACATCTTGCAAAACATCTAAAGGCAAGTTGCACTCACATTCGCATGTCAAGCTTTCACATCTCATCTCGGTTAAGCTTGATGACAAAACTTCAAGCATTGGGAGCCACAAAATGATGGCGTGATTCGCGGTCACAAGCTTCAGCGATTCGTCACTGTACCGACGATTCCTCAGTGGTTCCTGTCTGGTTCCGATTCTGCGATTAACGGTGCTAACTCTGCGTATCTTGATTGGGAGCAACAAGATGCGCTTATTTGTACTTGGCTTCTATCCACCATTTCTGATTCGCTTCTTCCGAAGCTAGTTGATTGCAAGCATTCATGGCAGGTTTGGATTGAAGTTCATCGTTACCTCACCACTTTACTCGTCACCAAGGCGTGCCAACTCCGTTCTGATCTGCGTCGTCTCACGAAAGTATCACTTACAATTGAGGAATTTATGGTTCGTGTTCGCGAAATAAGTGAATCTTTGATTTCGGTTGGGGATTCCGTTCCTCTTCGTAACCTAATTGAAATTGTGCTTGATGCGCTTCCTGAGGAATATGATCCGATTGTTGCAGCTTTGAATAGTAAAGCGGATTTAGGTTCTCTTAATGAGCTTGAGTCATGTCTTCTTTCTCATGAATCACAACTTGAGAAGCATCGGAAAGTTGTTCTCACGGAGCCGGTGTCAGTGAACTTGACGCAGGCTCCACCGTCATCATCATCGGTCACCACTGAACAGTCTGCCACCGGTATGAAGTCTTTTCCTCTAGGTACTAGTCATGTTACTGCTAACGCTGTGAATCATGGCTACAACTCAAGAGGTGGCCGTGGCGGTGGCTGATATGGCCGTGGAAGAGGCCGCTTTGGCAAAACTCAATGCCAGATTTGTGCCAGATTTGTCACAAATCTGGACATGATGCATCTATTTGTTACCACAGATATTCGAATTCTACTGGTGCTATATTCTCTCCTCATAGAGCTTCCTTCAATCCTTTCATGATGACTGCACGTCCTATGTATCAACCTTCCTCTGGTTATGCTGCTCCAAGACCAGCTCCTCCTCGATCTCCTCTACCTCAAACTTTCCTCACGGGTTCAGATCCTAATTTCAACAATCAATGGTGGTATCCGGATTCAAGTGCGTCTCACCATGTTACTCCAGATGCTTCGAATCTGTTTGACTCCATTTCATTGCCTGGTTCTGAGCAAGTGTTTATGGGAAACGATCAAGGTTTGTCTATTAACTCTGTAGGCTCTATGCAATTTTCGTTACCAAACTATCCTCACATGTCTCTCACCCTACACAATTCACTGCTTGTGCCTCACATCACCAAAAACCTTATTAGAGTAAGTAAATTCGCTCAGGATAATCATGTTTTCTTTGAGTTTCACCCTCAATTTTGTCTTGTCAAATCACACGCTTCCTCTGAAATTCTTCTGCGTGGTTTTGTTGGAGCTGATGGCTTGTACAAATTTCCAAATCCGACTTCACAACTGGCCAAGTCCTTTCCTAGTCTTAATACATGTGTATCTTTGTTTCTTGACAATTGTAATCTTAGCAACTTTAGTAATCATGTATTGAATTCAAATGCTAAGTACATTTGTATCTCTTTATGTACTGATTAACAAATTCATCTATGAATAAAATTGGTTCAGATTGTCAATTTTCTCCTAATGTTAATGTTGCTACTCATCCTACTTCTCCATCATCTCAGGATGTTAATAGCCCCTCATCCATATCCAATAACAAGTATATTTTGTGGCACACATGTGTAGGACACCCTCACCATCATGCTCTTGCAGAAGTGCTAAAACTCTACCACATACCTATCCCTCCTAAACCACCTGTTGAACTGTGTGCTACCTGTTGTTTAGGCAAGTCTCACAGGCTCCCCACCTCCCTATCCACCACTGTGTATCATCACTCCCTTTGAACTGGTTGTATGTGATCTATGGGGTCCAACTCCTGTTCAGTCCTCAGGTGGTTACACCTATTTCTTAACCTGTGTTAATGCCTTCTCTCGATTTGTTTGGGTTTTTCCTCTTAGGCTAAAATCTGATATTCTTTCCCAGTTCATTCTGTTCAAAAACATGATTGAACTTCAATTTAATTGCAAAATTAAAAGTGTGCATAGTGATGGAGGGGGTGAGTTCAGGCCTTTTACTAAGTATCTCATTGAGTTAGGAATAATTCATAGGTTTACGTGTCCACATACCCTTCATCAGAATGGTATAGTTGAACGTAAACATCGCCACATTGTGGAAACTGGTTTAGCCTTACTTGCACAGTCCACACTGCCTTTGAAATTCTGGGATCATGCCTTTGTTACAGCTCCATATCTCATTAATAGACTTCCTAGTCTTACTCTTCATAACCATTCTCCTTATTCCAAGCTGCTACATAAAACACCAGATGATACATGCCTTAGAGTGTTTGGCTGTGCATGTTTTCCTTTTCTTCGTCCCTATAATTCGCATAAACTTGACTATAGGTCTCAGGAATGCATTTTTCTAGGGTACTCTCCTGCTCATTAAGGGTATAAATGTCTTGCATCCTATGGTCATATATACATCTCTAAGGATGTTCTTTTTCATGATTCCAAATTCCCTTATTCCTCACCGTTTCCCTCTTCCAGTTGTCCTAAATCTTCCTCTCACACTACATCCTTCTGGTTTATGCCAGCTGTTTCATCAGCCCCTCTTCCTCTTCACCATGTTAGCCCTACTCCCTCTTCATTCTCTACTCCTATCAATTTTGTTAATTCCACACCTCCCTCTAATGCCTCTCATGGTACTTCCAGTCCTATTGTGAATTCTGATCTCTCTAGATCCCCTGCAAACCCCACTTTAACTCCCACTTCTTCTCCTAGTCTTATTCTTTCAGACTTAGCCGAAGCTAGTACCATCTCTCCTATATCCTCACCTGACACCATCACTACTGCTAGTCCTGTGCCAGTTCCTTCCAATCCCTCCCAATCTTTAATTAATCCCCTTAATGTTCATGCCATGCAAACTAGAGCCAAGAGTGGTATCACCCAACGTAGACTTAATCCTACCCTTTTGCTAACACACATGGAACCTACTTCAGTTGGTCAGGCCTTGGCTGCTTCTCACTGGTTCCAAGCTATGAAAGATGAGTATCAGGCTCTTTTGAAGAATCATTCCTGGACTTTGGTGTCACCATATGTTTCCAGAAAACCTAATGGCTGTAAATGGGTTTTTTGGGTGAAAGAGAATCCTGATGGAACTATCAACAAATATAAGGCCAGACTTGTGGCTAAAGGTTTTCATCAGCAGGCTGAAAGTGATTTTACTGAAACTTTTTCACCAGTTGTGAAGCCTCTTACAGTCATAATTGTTTTGACTCTTGCTGTCACACACAAGTAGACAATTCAACAAATTAATGTAAACAATGCTTTCCTCAATGGTACTCTTGAAGAAGAGGTTTTTATGCCCATTGGGTTTGAGGCCTCTGATAAGACACTTGTGTTTAAGTTAAACAAGGATATCTATGGGCTGAAACAGGCACCCGGGGCCTGGTTTGATAAGCTTAAAAGTGCCTTGCTGTAACATGGGTTTCAGGCTAGTGAATGTGATCCCAGTCTGTTTCTGCTCTACACTAGCAGTCTCACTATTATGATTTTAGTCTATGTTGATGATATAATCATCACTGGAAATTCTGCTCCTTTTATCGCCTCATTGATCAAGGACCTTAATGCTGCCTTCTCTATCAAAAAACTGGGTAAGTTAGACTATTTCTTAGGAATTGAAGTGACTCACTTGCCAAATGGCTCCTTGCTTCTCTCACAAACCAAATATATAAGTCATTTGCTAGCATAAGTTAATATGTCTAATGCAAATGGCATGCCTACTCCAATGGTTTTCAGCAGTAAACTCTCCAAAGTTGGTTCTAATGAAGTTTTTGATCCTACTCAGTTTAGGTCTGTGGTTGGTGCCTTGCAATATGCCACTTTAACTAGGCCTAAAATCTCATTTTCTGTGAATAAAGTGTGCCAATTTCTGGCAAATCCATTGGAGGATCATTGGAAGGCTGTAAAGAGGATCTTGAGGTGTCTAAGTGGCACCCTTCATTATGGTCTGCTTATTCAACCTGCCCAAGCTCAACAACCTCTGTCTTTGCTTGGCTTTTGTGACGCTGATTGGGCTTCTGATCCCGATGACCGAAAGTCTACCTCAGGGCGTGTGTGTTTTTTGGTCCTAATGTGGTGTCTTGGTGGTCTAAAAAGCAATAATTAGTGGCCGGATTAAGCGCAAAAATAGAATATAGAAGTATGGCTCAACTAGCTGCTGAGATACTTTTGGTGCAGTCACTTCTCTATGAACTGCAATGCAAGTTTCAAACTCCTAAGATTCTGTGTGACAATCTGAGTACAGTCACTCTTGTCCATAATCTGCATATCAGGACTAAACATATGAAGTTAGATATTTTCTTTGCAAGGGAAAAGGTTCTGAACAAGAGCCTAGTTGTGGCTCATGTTCCTGCATAGGATCAGTGGGCAGATGCTTTAACTAAACATTGTCTGCAGTATAGTTTCTTCCTCTTCATGATAAGTTCATGGTGTTCAATAAACAAAGTTTGCTTGGCACACCCTCTGCTTCTAAGGGGGAATGATAGAGTTAGTGTATTAGTTAGCCATTTAGCTTTCTGTTTGTATTATCTGCTGTGCTGTAATAGTTAGTTACAGCATTCTCTCTATATAAAGAGAGTCCCTTGTATCTCAAATCAGTATGGAATACAATAACAGTTTCCTAACAGTTTTCTCTAACAGCATTATGCTATTCTATCAGGGCTGAGTGTAATTTAATTTTAGTTTTTTATCCTCTAATTTTGAAAGAGGCCCGAGGTATATGTTGTTTATTTATTTATTGAGAAAGGAACAATTATAGAAGAAATATTCTGTTATTCGAGAGCCTGGCTGCTTACAGAGATTTACAAAAAATATAACAATCTCTCTCCTTGTGAATCATTTTGGCCTTTCTTTCCACAGTTCCCATCAAATTCAACTATTTGAGTATTTAAAGATATGTTTGGCTTCCCCAGATAAATTGTTCTTTCACATTGTCCCTGCCCACCTTAAACAAAACTCTTCTTGCTCCTGCCCTTCTTATAGTTGGTGGTAATCCAGATAATACTCTCAACTGCTTAGGAGGGGAATAACAAGAACGAAAGGTTAGACTTTGAATTTGAAGGATATAATGCTTTTCAGTGTCATTTCCATCAGAAAGTGCTGATGTTTCTACTCCTCGGTTGATTTCCTTGCAGTTTGTTTTTTTTGGACTTCAGCCCTCCTGTTTCCCCAAAAAAACATAAGTGATTATGTTCCTACTGGGCCGTTCTTTCTCATTTTTATTTATACTCCTTCTTCAAGCTTCATTGGGACCACAATATCCATGTTAGAATTGTAAGATGTAATAATGTGGTATGCATGACCTTGACATTATATTCTGCTTTTATTTGTCTCACTTTGGGTTTTAGTGATGCTTTGATTGAATTGGACCAGGATAGTTAATATCGTATTTTGTGGTATTTTTGGAATCAAAGTTAAATGACTAGTTAACCTTTTTATTTGAGATTTACCCGATTCTTTGACCATGTTTTTAACACAGTGTTTTACAGTTTCTTAATGTGACGCGTCCTAATTTGATGTGCACTTTGTTTGAAGGCCAGAACTTTAGGCACAATCTATACCCTTCATACAAGAGCAATCGGCCTCCTACTCCTGATACCATTGTTCAAGGACTTCAATACCTCAAAGCATCCATCAAGGCTATGTGCATAAAAGTCATTGAGGCAAGTTGTGGATTTATATTGCTTACAGGTTTTAATGGTGTATACATAACTGATATAAATTCATTTAATGATGATAGGTTCCAGGTGTAGAAGCAGATGATGTGATTGGAACATTAGCCTTAAGGAGTGTTGATGCTGGGTACAAGGTGATATTACTATCTAATAGTTTCAAGATAGAGGAATGGTTCACAATCTCTAACTTTGGTGCACCTCTACAAATTTTAAGAAAAAATAAAAATAAAAATATTCTTGACCAAGTGAAAAATTTACCACTACACTTATAAGAGTGTTCATGTTGCCAAATAAAACCATTCCTTTAGACATATAACTTCATATTATTATATTATTATAGTATTACGACTGAATGTTAAATTATGTACTTGGTTATTGAAAAGAAGGGTGGAGCAATTATAAATGGGATTTTTATGCTTGAATAATGAAATCTAAATAGCATGGTGCTGCTGCTTTTGTCATGGAAATGCCCTCAGTGATATTATTAAGTCCTTGTCACTAATTTGTCTCATGTTGATGATAGGTACGAGTTGTCTCCCCAGACAAAGACTTTTTTCAGATTCTATCTCCGTCGTTACGTCTCCTAAGACTTGCTCCACGTGGTGATGAGTAAGTATCAGACATGATTTAGAGTTAATATCATGTGCTAGCTAATGATTTATGCAATAACTAATAGCAATTTATTTTTATCTCTGCTTTAAAATAATGAGGATTGTCTAGCTAATGATTTAGTGCAATAACTAATAGCAATTTATTTTTATCTATGCTTTAAAATAATGAGGATTGTCTAATAAAGGGTTTTTATCCGTTTTTCCTCTTACCTTTTTTTACATAAAAAATTACATTACTGGAGGAAGAAATTGAAAGAGAAGATGTTGCTATAAACTCTCTAGTTGTGCAGTTTTTCAGAGTGGAGACGGACAGTTTTAACTTACGGGCTATATAAATATTATGCTATATGATGTTGACTTATATTTATTTTTTTTGTTTCTATTATATTTGAGTTTCGTAGTACTTGGAATATTACCGGTACCATATACTGGGCAAATTAGAAACAATATATTTATCAAGTTAAAAACAAATTGCAACAAAGCTACGGCGAAAAGGTTCTCACATTTTCAGTTTTCATTTTAAATTGTTAACAAGGAGATGAAACTTGCGTGGTGAGCAATTGTGATAGAAAACAGTCTTCATTTTTTCAGAACAATGAAGAATGTTTTTGGAAATGAAATCATGAAAAATGGAAAGTAAACGAACCTTTATTTGGTTGATTACTCTCCCGTTCTAAGTAAATAAGTAGTTTACTCTTATGTTTTAAGAGTTTTTTTTTCTTCTCAATAGGGTGGTTTCATTTGGAGTTGAGGACTTTGAAAAGCGATATGGAGGTCTGAAACCATCCCAGTTTGTGGATATGATTGCACTTTCTGGTGACAGATCTGATAATATTCCAGGTTATTTTGTGCTCCTCTTGATTTGGAACAACATTTTATGACACATGGGTCAAAATTGAACGAGGGTATTAATTCAAATATGAGGGCATGCTTTATTTTCATTTGTCACCTTTGAAATCAATGGGTAATAAGATCTGTTAGAATATTAGGATTATTACTTTAGTATTACAAGTTTTGTTATGTATGGAGTGTTTTGTTCTGTACTTGTGCCTGATCCAGTATCTTATTAGTAAAATATGTTCTCCCATTTCTCCTCTCTATCTTTTCCTATAATTTCAAGAAGACCAAAATCCTATACAGTGTATTACATGATAGAAAAAGTACAAGAGAAGGGAAAAAACACTTATCAAGAATGATACACCGACTAACGTAAAATAGGAAAAACATTGGATGTTAATCTCCCATATATGCAGATTTATGTCTTAATATACTCCTTTAGCAACAACAACAAGCAGATATATTCCTTTAACATTGTTTTGAAAAAGAAAAGAAAACTCGCCAACTCGTAAATGTTAGGTTCCTAAACATTGCAATCTATTTTACAGCATTTCATTCTAACGTTCAAGTTCTGTTCCTAACTTTATGTGTAACGAGATTATAATTATAAGGAACACCTAATTAAATTATACAGGGGAAACGAAATTCAATACATTCCATTCTTCAAGGAACCACTTCCTCTAGGGTCATTCCTGCTTTGTGGAATCTTCATTTAATGTGTTTCTACATGTCAAACTAATGAATCATCATTACCTAAGATTAGAGTGGATAATGTAATGACTGTTTATTTGGAAGCATGTTTTTCAGTTTTATGGGGACAAGTTATATGTGCTGTTAAGAGTCTCACATCGAATAATAGTCTGAACACGTCCTTATAAGTAGGGGCAATCCTCACCTTACAAGCCGGTTTTGTAGAGTTGAGTTAGACCCCATCACATTTCCTAACATGGTGTCAAGAGCCTCGTTCAAGATCCAATGTGCTTCATGCTATCAGGTATCTGCTATCGGGCCACCCACCATTTATTTTCACGCTCCAGATGTCCATTCTTGGGTGTGAGGGGGGTGTTTTAAGAGTCCCACATCGGACAATAAATGGCCTGAATATGTCCTTATAAGTGGGGGCAATCCCCACCTTTCAAGCTGGTTTTGTAGGATTGAGTTAGGCCCAACCACATTTCTTAACATGTGCTTCTTAGATTTTATTAAGTATTTAATACTTTTAATACTTTGTAAATACAGGAGTTAATGGGATTGGAGACACTTATGCTGTGCAATTGATCAGTAAATTTGGTGAGGTTTCTCATTAACTTTCTCATTTTTTTCTAAAGTAAATATTGTTCTGGCATCATGAGAAGTCAACATTCAGCAAGTACTGTGATTTCTGATTTTATTTCTAGAGTCAACTACTAAGAATAGTTTGTCGTCTTATATAATACCCAAGCTTCTTTTATTTTCTTTGCCCAAAATGAGCATCTTAGGAGACGTGGTTTGGGAAAAGAAAATGAGCGTGTTAGTAAATTTGTCATGCACCCTATGCCGGTCCACTGGATAGGAGAGGGGTCTAGCTCAGAGGTAGATAAAATATGATAGGGAAAGGAGAGAGATTAGGCTTGAATTTGATAGGGTTTGCACCAGGAGTTGTTGACCGAAGTCCTGGTCTATCTGCTTATTTTCTTTTTTTTCTTTATCAAGAAAGATCTTGAGATTAATGATTTTTGGATAAAAGCACGGTCCTTAACAGAATATTATGGCGAAAGTTGATCCATGTAGCCGACCCCACTTAATTGTTATTGTTGTTGTAGATAGAGGTTCCGCACTGTATTTTCTGCATGTCATTGGGAGTTGCTTCTCCTTCTGTAATCAAATAATTGAGTTCTTATCATCATTCCTTCGTTATATTCTTTAAGTATTTGGCATGGCTGGAAAATCACATTAGTTGTCCAGAAAATATAAATGTAAATTTATTGACAAAAAATGTCTATATTTTTCTGTCTGCATATAATTGCTTCTGGCTCATTTCTTTTTTGCTTTTGGTTCTTGTCCTTAGTATTGTTTTGAAAAATATTTAAATTACTAACATTTTATTGGATGGTTGCTTGGCTGGCATTTGATTATTTAGTCATCCAAATAATCCAACAATGTAGGACAAACTTATTTGAAAAGTGTGTATTGTTACTCGGTCTTGTATCTTCATATATTTCTGCAATTATCTATGATTGTAAACCATCTCTCTCCACTTATTTGAATAGGCACATTGGAGAGGTTGTTGGAATCTGTTGATCAAATCAAAGAGGATCGCATTAGAAAGGTATTCCTGATTTCTGTATATGTAATGTGTAAAATGTTCTCACTGAAGCTTGTTATATCTTATTTAACATGATTAATAAGATTTATTTAGCATCTGAATATAATCGCATCCCTTGTTTGAAACTATACTGTATATGACATTGTGATTTCTTTTGCCATTTTCTATGCAGACCTTAATTGAAAATGCCGAGCAGGCTCGATTAAGCAAGGAATTGGCAAGCATCTCAATCTCTGATACTCTTTGTTGTTTTCTTACACATTTTTTTTTTTGTTCTTATTCTGTCTTTTTATACTTTAACCTGCAATTTGCATTTATACATTAATGTTCAAAATTATGACAGGCATTGTTGCGTTCTGATCTCCCATCCTACATGGTACCATTTGCTGTAAAAGATCTCTTGTTTCATAAACCCGAGGTTTGTGGCACCCAAGGCAGTTTCAATTTTCAATTTAGGTTTTTTATTTAGTTTTTAGCACAGTCTTTTAGGTCCAACTATAGACCTTATTTAAAAGTCTCATATTTAGCGTCAAGTTTTTGTACCATGCACATAATCATGCTCTCAAGACATTCACGCGTTTCTGAATTCAAGCATTTTTGAATTCATAATCAAACACTTATGCATTCTTATTAAATGCAATAAACTTAAGTTCTGTAAATGTTCGGAAGTAGGCTATTATGCTTTGACATTCCACGATACATCTTAACATTTGAAAAAATAAATCGTGCTCAGGATAATGGCAGCAAATTCAACAGCCTTTTAACAGCTATCAGTGCTTACGCAGAAGGGTTTTCAGCTGATCCTATCTTAAGGAGAACATTTCGTCTGTGGGAAAAGTTAGATTCAAGGTGAAGTCATCTCAGGTTTTCTTTGTATAGAGGGGATACTTAGAATGTAGCATGCCATGGAACCACAATACAGCATGAGGGGATTTAAGTGTATATAGCATACAGAGGATGCATTTTTTCACTACAATTGGGAGTTCCAACCGTGGTGAAAAGTCTATCGGCCTAGATTTTCATCTTTGACACATGTTTTGACTGACAACAATGAACACTTCCATCATAGTATAGAATATTAAATATTTCTAGCAACAAGAACGACAAGAAAAACAATTGTTCTTGTTATTATTGTTGTTTTTGTTGTTGAGATTTCATGCTTAAGGATTCTATTAATTTTGTTTTTGTTGTTGTCATTGGAATTGTGTTGATGATGAGAAATATTTAAATTTTGTCAACAAATTTGATGCTTTGCAGATTAAAACGAAAAAAAAAAAACAGGTTAAAACAAACAAGACTTTACCCCTCGATTTTTGTTAAAAAAGTAGTGCAATTTTGGAAATCTAAAAAATGTAGTTGTTGGAGATCGAACTCATAACCAGTGCCACTTTTTCCATGGGTTATTCAAAAAACGAAGGATAAATGGTAGATTTTCATGTTGTCCTTTGTTACCTAGTCTGTGTAACTGAGGTTATATCCCTTTTGCGAGGTGAAATATGGTTATTTCTAATAGTGTCATATTTTCTACCCAAGTGTTTTTCAATCTTTCCAAGTCAATATTAAATGCCCTTTCTAGATAACTCAGACTTTTCTTGATTTCTAAACCCTTATTTCTCTCTTTTGCTCTAAAGTTCTAAAATTTTCACACTATAAATAACAGAAGAGATACATATTTCTAATTGCCAAAACCCAATTGATCTATAACAAAGTCCAAAACACAACTCATAAAATATTATAAATATCTTATAATATATTTTATATTAATTTAGACTATGTAGATTGTCAAATTTTTTTATATTGATTTAGTGATTTCTTGCGGCAACTCAGTCCACTCAACGCCCATTCTTCGTTTGTTTTGTTTTGGGAACAAACATGTATACTTTTCCAGTACAAAGCTACAGATGAACTCTCACCGCCCAACAACTATGGACCCTGAGCAACATGGAGACTTGTTCAGCTATTGATCATATGCTCGTTGGCTGCTTCTCATATACAACCATCAATCTCACTCAACCATTGAGGCCAAGATATATAATCCCTAATCATGGGCAAAAATGAATGTCAGTATTCTCTTTATAAATTTGTTGACAACAAACACAATAAAGTCAAAATAAATTAACAGTAGTGGTAATCAAATTGGATTAGTTGAAATTAAAAGTACATAACATGAAAGCATAAAGTTATCGTTCGGTAACGTTTATGCGTCTTAAGTATCATTTGTGTGTTTTAATGTTTTTGTCAATTCGATTATTGATTGATTGTGTATTTTTAATTCGTATAACATTTCATTCATGTGCTTGTAGGCTTTTATCATTTCAATTTGATTGTAATCGCTTCGACTACTGTTAATTTGTACCACTAAGAACCCTATACATTTCATCAATTATATTACCTTGATCCTTGTTGGTATTTCCTTTTTGAGCCCATAAAATTGCTATTTTGTCATTTTCACAGTCGTAGCTTGAATCACAAGTTAAAACATTTAAATTTGAATGCTTTGGTATTCAATTTGAATCATGTGTTATATATGATTCGAATCACACACATGTGAAAATTAGAATTTTTCCCATGGACATAGTGATTCAAATCACAAATTGAACATGATTCTAATCATAATCTCATTTATTTCGAATCAAGTGCATATCATGATTTGAATCATGCAGTTTTAAAATGCCCCTTTTGGGCATGTCCAAAATGATTTGAATCACACTTTCCTCTTGATTCGAATCACATATTTTAAAATTCAATTTTCCATCTCTCATTTAAATAGTTGTTTTATTTCGTGAAAGTAACAAGTGTGTCAAACCTATGGTAATACCCATAGAGACAAAAATGTGATTTTGTCTTCTATTCTTAGTTTGTCTATCCCATCACTATGAATCTTTCTCTTTTCACTAGAACAACTTCTTGATTATGAATTAATGTTGAATTCATTCTCCTTTTGTTGCATCTTGTTCTTGTGCAATTTATTATTATGTTTGAGTTAATTAAAGAGAGGGAGTTGATTAATCTTGATGTGTGTTCATGGTTAATAAATTTCTTGATAACAATCAAATCCAAGACCCATTCATCTAGAAACTTGAGAGAACCTTGTGTATGTGTTCTTTATTCACATTATCTATAACACTTGACTAACACCTCGTGTTTGTTGATTATTGTAAGATATTATGGCACTGTTCACCATATTCATCCTTAGTCTTGTTCCATTTTTGAGGACCTTCATATCTAAATATTGAGTGTTCAGGGAGTCTAGTTGGACATTAGGGTATCTAATATTTTTGTGTGAAATTTATTGTTTGTAACAGGTACATGTATCGTTTCTTGAATACAGTTTGGTGTTTGTTTTTATTCATCAAGAATAAAGTTTCTACTATACTCCAAGTAAGAATTTGGCGAGATCTAGTATCCGTTGTCTGTAAGGTAGGGATGGAAGCTTCCCATCCTTGGCGGCGTTAGATAAAGTTTCTCGTAGACAAAGTTGGGAGTTATCCAATCTGTTGTACCCCAAAATTTGCCCTCTCAATTCTCAAGGCCTTTCTTACAAGGATTTTCAAGGTTCAAGCTTGAACAAGTGCATTGGGATTTTCCAATACCAAAATTAAAAGGAGACTGTCAAAAAGGGAGAAAACAGATAAAAATAACATTTTAACAAATTTGGAGGAAAACATGTCTCCTTCGATTTAGCACCCTTCGATTGACTCTTGGCCTCTTTCGAATGCAACTTGGATTACATCCTTCATGTTGAACTTAAAGCCTCCTTCGAGTGCAAGTTTAGAAACACCATTTGATTCAGGAACTTCCCTCACGCTAAAAGGTAAGGACTCCCTTTATGTTTGTTTCGATCCACATGCTTCGATTGGGCAACATTGCTTCCTTCGAACACAGTCTTTCGATTGGGCAATATGTTTGTTTCGATCCAAGATTCGACAGGGCATTAGCTTCCTTCGAGTAGTTTGTTTCGACCACAAGCTTCGACTGAGTCAAAGGCTTCCTTCGAACAAGTGCGTTTCGATCTCATTCTTGGATTTGACTCAAGACCAAATCTCGTTTGCCAGGCTATGTTGCGTCCAAATCTTTACATAGTCAGAAGCTTGTACAAGGGTTTTAAACTTTACCTTTTGGATACTACTATTCTTGGTTAAAGGCTACGTACTCTTTCTTTTCATAGAGAGTACTTTTATCACAAAAGCAGCTTTCAACCTGAATTTGGTCTGAGCACAAGCAATGTCAGAAGCATAAGTCACATCTTCTGCACCCCAGCTGCCAAGAGGCCCCCCACATGTACTGTCACGTTACATTATTTTATCATTTATTTACAAGGCTGACTTTGGACAACATGTCCATTCTTTCTCTATAAATAGAGGAACATTTACAAAGCTAAGGGAGGATCTTTGGACCAGAGGAACGAATCCCCCAAATTTTCTCAAACACAACAAAACTCTCAAGTTCATCAACACTTGAGAAATCAAAACCCAGAATCCCAAACACTCATCTCTTTCGATTCTGAAGAACACCCCACACATAGAAGTTTGTTCAAACTCAAAGACAACCTTCTGTGACAACCCTTCGAACCAAAAGCAAACCCCCTGTGACTATTCTTCGAATTCCAGAAACGTCCAGGTAGCAGTTCAAGTTCGAATCCCACATCCATTCAAGGCCTGAAGCAAGGTAAGTTATTCTTACCTTTGAACTTTTCGTTTCATGACATAACATGTAAATAATCTTTTCCTTAGTTTCAAACATGTACATACCATTGTTCCTTTCGTTTCCACCCTTTTAACATGTTATTTTTCAGAGCTAACCCTTTCGTTTTTTTGCTTTCTATTTACCTGAACTTGCTTTAACTGTTAAACTGCTTACCAAACAAATACTAGCATGGCCTCAGGCCATGTTGCCATTTAATGCTTTAAATGAAAGAAAACAGGAAACAGGAAATAGGAAACGAAGCTTCTGGCTTCTACCCTCTTTCTCAAGATCAAACGAAAGAGACAACCAGGACGATAAACATGCCTTCCCTGATTCCAGGCTCAGTCGAAAGGCATTCCCTCACTGCTTTCGACCTCTAGTCGAAGAAGACAACAAGGCAGAACCAGAAGGCTTCGCCATACGCTGACTTCCAAGCCAATCGAAGTCCATGACCTCACTGGTGCGAACTCCCAATCGAAGGAAGCCTAGAAATGCAAATCGAAGGGTGCTCCTTCCTGAATCGAAAGACACTCATTTTTCTTACTTTTATCTTATTTTTTTCCTTCATATTTTTTATGCCTTTTGATATGATTGTAATAGCGTAGGATTTTATCTTTATGATTTTTATTACTTTTATACAAATGCTAATAACTAGGTGTGTATGGCAAGATAAAACCAACAAGTAGACAACCCCTAATCAAAGACTAAATGCATGCAATAAAGCACACTTTGCACACATGCACCCTTAGGGTAATCTCACTTGTTGCCTCGGAAAATAGTCATGTCCCTCGAGCATGGGCATTTTAGCAAAGACCCTCGATAAAAGATCGTAGTTCCTCGATGACCCTCGATGTTGCCTTCGGTAAACGATCTATTTCCTAAAACGACATTGCTAAAATGTCCCATATGTTGCCTTCTATGACTATATAAACGTCCCAACGCCCGTCCCTAAACATCCTAACGCAAGGTTGTTCACCAAATACAATGGTGAAACAACACTGTTAAAAGGGTTAAAACATGAGAAAAATCTTTGAGTAAAATAGGGTAGACAAACTCTTAGTTACTTGATCAAAAATCTTGTAAAACATCCTTGCCATTTTTCAAACACACATCACAACACAACTTCAAAACAACTTTCAAAACATTGAATTGTCTTTTCAAAAAGAC